AAACAAAAGAAAATGGAATAGATAAATAGGATATTGTTATAATTTAAGGACACTTTATTTGCTGTGCACACATGCACAGGCCCAAGCCCGGTAGTGGCACAGCAAGCATGTGGAAGTCAGAAGACAACTCCTGGGAGTCAGTTCTCACCTGCCACCGCATGGTCCTCAGGCCTGCATGCAAGCACCTCTACCTGCTGAGCCATTTGCTGGCACAGAACTTACTTTAAAAAATACCATCAAGGAGGTGGGTGGTCCTTGGACTTCCCACAGGGCAGAGAACCCTGATTGCTTTTTGGGCTGACGAGGGAGGGGGACTTGATTGGGGGAGGGGGAGGGAAAGGGGAGGCAGCGGTGGGGAAGAGACAGAAATCTTTAATAAATAAATTAATTAATTAAAAAAAATAAATCATTTTCATCATCAATAAAAAAAAAAAAATACCATCAATTGCCGGGCGGTGGTAGCGCACACCTTTAATCCCAGTACTCGGGAGGCAGAGGCAGGTGGAGTTCAAAGCCAGCCTACTGCAGGATATTTGATCATACTGTTAACCCCAAGATTGCATTATTTACTGGAAAAATCTGTTTCTAGTTGTAGTGTGGCTCAGCCCTAGCACAACTTTAACCCTTTAATCTAAGAGCTTTCTGCTTACTGTAAACAGGATTAAATAAAGTCAACTATAGCTCAAGAAAGGGAGTAAGCAATCATTTGACAGAAGTGAACTAGGATTATTAAGAAAAAAACCATAGAGAGTAAGAGGGAGTCAGGAGGACAAAAGGAGAAAGAGAGACACAGGAAGGAGAAGAGAGGGACATTCTTTTGGTCTCTTTCTGGGAGAACAGCAGAAGAGGAAGGTGTGCTGGGTGCTTTCCTGCCACACTGAACTAGCAGGCTTAAACGTCAAGATCTGACTGACTCCCAAGTCTTTACTGATAAAAAACAAACAATTGAGATTTTGTTTAAAAACAACATCAGCTTGGTATACAGAGCAAGTTCCAAGATACCAAGGACCCACAGAGAGACTCTGACTCAAAAGCTACAGAGAAACCCCGTTTCGATACCCCCACCCGCCAAAAAAATAATTAATAAAAAAAAAGAAAAACCAAATAGATTAAAATGTAGTAATCACAAAAAAATTAAATCTGAAATTTAGTAAGGTATTTTATATAAAATAAAGAGACTAAAAAAAGAAATCTCAGCTACCATTTCAGTGATAAGGCTCTTACTGCTCTAAATTTAAAGCTTAAAACTGATGTCTGTTTTGTAAAATTAGCCCCAGCTGGCTTCCCAGAACTTTATACCCAGAGCTGCTCTAGCACCGAGCTAACTTCCACCCTAGTATTTCTGATTTTTTTTTGGGGGGGGGAGAGTTGGCTGGTTGGGTTTTTTATTTGTTTATCGAGACTAGGTATCTCTGTATAACAGTTCTGGCTTTCTGGAACTCTCTTTGTAGACCAGGCTGGCCTCGAACTCACAGAGATCCACCTGCCTCTCCCGAGTGCTGGAATTAAAGGCATGCGCCACCACCACCCATGGCTAGTTTTTCAAAACTTTGAAATAGAACTTTACTGTGACAGATTTTATGAATGTTAACTACCTGAAATGCTTCTTAGACACAAGTAAAATATGATTATTAACAACAATAACCGAGTTTGGAATAGACTTGTTTAGTTATCTTAAATTAGATGTCTTATTAATTTCTACCAGTTTACTTACCCAGATGCAATGCTTCTTGGTACCTCTTAGTATCAAAATACAAAGACACCAACCTTGCCTAGGAAAGAGAAAAGGCATTGACTGAAGGAAATAGGGGGAAATCCACAGAAAGAAATTAACAAATGACAGTCACAGAACGGTAACTGTTGAATATACATGTTCTGATAACAAGGTTGGACATAACAAGTAGATTACATCCCAGTCCTATTTTTTATTGTGGCCAAATGACCATTAACTATACTATACCATACTGCGGCTTATTTTCTACACTCAAACAGCCAAAGTGCCTCAAAAGTTCAAGAAGAAATAAAAATAGTTTAAAAGAAAAATTTAGCCAGGTGTGTTGGTACAAAGACAGACAGATCTCTGAGTTCTTGGCCAGACAGGTCTAACAGAGCAAATTCCAGGACAGCCAGGGCTATACAGAGAAAACCCTGTCTCAAAGGAAAAAAAAGAAAAATTTAGATCCAGGCACAGTGGCTAACACCTAAAATCCCAGAATTTAGGAAACTGAGACAAGAAGTTTGCCAAAAGTCTGAAGCCATGCTCTGAGCTCTAGAATAAGATGTTGTCGTGTTTTAAAAAAATAAATACTTCTACCAGGGACATTTCCGTAACTAGAAGCACTATCAACAATATTCAGGTGACAGGGTGATACAGAGCTACTCAAGATGCTCTGTTGGGGTGACACGTATACTCACAGCTTATCTATCTAAAGCTGCATATCTCCAGTCAATGCTAAGGTAGGCACCTACCTCCAATGCTTGGCGTAAGAAAGTTCTTTTCTCTGATTTGGCCCATTCGATGCACTCTAAACATAGCTCGACCTGGAAGAAAGACAATACATGTAACATGATGTCCTCGCCTTCTTCCAAATACATATAACATGATGTCCTTACCTCCTTCCAACTAACTACATTGGAAGCACCAAGCCTTTAGCTCCCTCCTTTCTGAATCCACATTTTGCTCTATTTAGCATGTATAGTATGCTGGCCTACCATACTTCAATATCTTTTTACGATTTAATTATTTGTTTGTTTTTGTGCATAAGTGCTCTATCTGTATGTATGCCTTTAAGCGAGGAGAGGGTATCAGACCCCCACTAAAGATGGTTGTGAGAACTGAACTCAGGACCTCTGGAAGAGCAGCCAGTGAGCCATCTCTCTAGCCCCATATTTTTTTTTAAGAGCTGGTCTGTAGTATACTTGCCCACCACATCTCAAATTTAATGGTTATACTATGATAAAGAATCAACTTGGCTCTTAAAATTTTTTCTTTGGCCCAGCACAGTGGTACATGCACACTTTTAGTCCCAACACTTGGGAGGAAGAGGCAGGCAGATCCCCTATGAGTTCCAGGCCAGCCAGCTTGATCTACATAGTGAGTTCCATGACAGCCTGGGATATGTAGAGAAACCCTGTTATAAATGGAACAAAACCAAAGGCCATAGCTCTGGGGGCCAGAGAGGTGACTCCATGGGTAAAAGGCTTGTCATGCAGTGCTGAGCTCAGATCTCTGGCAGCCATATAAATGCCAGGTGACCACAGAGGCAATACCTAGTCCAAGAAAGACCACAAACTGAGACACCACCTGGGAACAGACCATCCAAAGGAAATTCCTAGAGTTCCAACCATTGGAGATAGGATCACCGGCCAGCACATACCCATCTTTTTTTCACCAGGACACTCCTAGACAAATTGAACCGGTCACCCCACACCCT